TTCACATTGTACCGGCAGCCATCGTGGACACATTTTCACGACTTGCAGGTCATAAACCAATGTACGTTTGTGGTATTTCGCGTGCAATGATATCAACCTGTGGAATGAGCAATGGTCTTCACCAAACTCACGTTTTGCAGGTTAATGGATGCGTATGCAAAAATGGATAAGTTCGGCGATGTGATATCCTTCTTCACTACGCAACAGTGGAAGTTCCGGGATGAGAATGTGAAGAAATTGTGGTCGAAGCTGGGACCCATCGATCGAAGAAGCTTCAATTTCAACGTGGCAGACATAAACTGGCCCGAGTACTTCGACGTCTACATGAGAGGCATTCGTGTATACTCGCTGAAAGATCCACTCACTGAAGAGTCCATACGTGCGGGCCGCAGTAAATTCTGGAAGTAATATTTGTCGTCCCAATGTCATAATTAACAAAACTATTAAAAATTAAATAATACAACCAACCTTCTTTGTTTTAGGTTGAACATTGCAAATTATGTGGTAATGACGCTATACGCGCTGTTGGTACTATGGATCGTCTATTCTTTAGTTGCTCTGCCCATTGTCACATTAGCGTTTTCGCTAGTTTCGTAAGGCCCCGTGAATTTAATAAAACTTAATTTAATTTTCTGTGCGAGTATATATGAGAAAAGCTGTACTCTTCTGTTGCGTCAAACAATATTTAATGTGAATTCTTCGTTTTGCATCTGACACTTAATTGAATAGGATAAGTTTTTAAATAGCTTGTGTCCTCGAAATTCTGTATAGTTGTAAACAATTTTGCAATAAAACGTGTAACATTAAAGGCACTTATCTCTAAATCCTCTACTTTGGCACATATAGTATTTCCTTAATTTATTACAAATTTTAGTTATTACATCAATTAAACTTATCTCTGAGTCTAATTAAATGAAATAGTAAACTAGACCTACGATGTGAATTTTAGAGATCCCTTGCAATGATTGGAGTATGAGGTTATTGAATAATTATTAAAAAGATTAACAGAAATATAGTATCGGGCATATTCAATTCTTACTAACGACTCTAGTTCCTGAATTATCGACACGAAGCATTTGCAAGTTTCAAATTATGGTTATCAACAAAGTAATGGAATCTCTCCAATGCAAACGCGGGCTTAGGATCACTATAGTCATCGCATTTTGTTTTGTTTTGTTCAGATTTGTTAGGCTGTCGGATTCCTCGAATATTAGAGCGGTTTAAAATCTGGGCTGAGACGGGCTTTGGTTTTCGAGTCGAGTCGAGTACTCGGTAAAACTGAGCGAGCTCACCTTCATGTTTACCTAAACAATTCAGTTAAGGGTCCCAGTCCCAATATTTTCAACCCAAGTCATCATTGTATCGCGTTTGATCGTTATGCTTTTCTCGGACGTATTTGCTTGTACAACGAATATGTACAACGAATATGTACATCGACGTACGACGATAATGAAGATCACAGGCAAATGAAAGTTATAAAACGATTTATTTAGTCAACAATTTTAAGATAAATCATTTTACTTTAAAAATTTATATTTTCGTCCAATCCCATAATAATAAAAATTTAAATAAATTTGTGATAAGTACTTTACACGCCACTGTCGATAATGCAGGAAATATTTCCCTTGTAGTTTACAGGGGAACAAACAGTAACATACGATTGAAGTATAAATTTTATGCCAATAACACATTAAGGAACTGCATTTCCATTTCGTCGAATTCCTGGTTGGAAATTACATAAAGTAATATTAAAAATGCATAGAATAAACTTACTAATGCTGCTAGTATTAACATTAAGGCAATATAACAGATCTGGAATCTGATTGGCCAGAGACCAAATTCCAAACGATACTCGCCAATTTTTGAAATCCTTTTGTAACTTTTTGCATCGACCAGACCTTTCCCTATTTTGTTCGATTTTGTATTTTGTTCTATTTCGCGCGTACGTTGCTTCAATTTGTAATTTACTTAATTTAATTTTGTATTTTGCTTCATTTATCACGTGCCAAATTGTTCGAAATCACTCGAATAAGTTGAACAAGTTGAAATATGATCACGACGGCGAGCCTTACGATTCTCTGACTCAATATTGATTAGTCTGTGCATTTTAAAAACTTATTCGGTGTCACCCTATCGTTTATTACAATTTTGTGAAATGTTACAATGACTTCACCATTCTACGCTACATTCACCTTTCAAACTCTGTAGTTCAAAAGGTACATCCGGTCTACTTGGTAATCGTTTCCATTGTGTGTGTATTGATTCATATATGATCTCGATTAAAAAGCGTACAACGGTGAATATAATTTCCGGCAGCTCGTGCATTCTGGTCTTCTCAAAAAGAATTTATAGATTTCAAGAGAAGAATGGGTAACACACACAACAATGAGATCATTATTTATACATCTGGATATTTATGCGAATAGTATCTAATTGTTAGACAATTTGGCAGCGACTGAAATGGCTGTGTCATGGATAAAGGAAGCGAGAGTATTTCGTCTGGGACCCGCTAGAAAACTCATCAGTAAAGCCATTCATGCGGGTCCTTGCCTTAGACGTTGAGATGTCGGAATGACACTGTCCCTGAACACGTACTGAAATTACTAACAATTATTTCATGATTTTCTCGCTAAAGGTCGCGTGAAGGTCAACATGTTACATCTCGCTGGATTTGTTTTCTTTATGCTATAAGACTGCTGTAGTGAAAACATGTAGTCCCATTTTATAAAAATTACGAAGACCTTAAAATCACGAAAAAAATGACCTTGAGAAAACACAATACGAACTATTATCGTATTGTCTGCTTTGAACGGAATATTTGTCTCAACATGACATATTTTCTATCGTACATATTGGATTATTTTCTCTCTTTTGAATACTCAGAAGTTTTTCCTTCTAGCATATAAGTTACAAAAATGAATCGACGCCGAGAGTCTCGCCAGAGTACCATTAGATAAACAATGACTTCATATGTATATAGAACAGAGTGCTCTTTGTCTTTAGGTGACGTTTTTGGTTTCGTCTTTGTGAATAGTCTTCAGTCTCCTGGAGCAATCAGGAGAGTAAAGACGGTCCTTCCTCGTACATCAAATTAATAAACTAAAAGGGATAAGTTTAATCCACTGCGTTTTACTTTTATTTATCTACCCATTTCCAATAGTACAAAATTAGGATGTAAAGTTAGATGAAAAACCCTGTACATTAAAATCTCTCTATTTGTAGCCGGGGCCGAATTTTACGGTGTCGAGTATAGCATACAGGACTCGATTTCTTCGAGCCTCGCGGCTCGTCTTTATTGTTGCCGATACCTCGTAAGAGGGAGAGAGAGAGACAGAGAGAGAGTGAGAGAGAGAGAGAGGACGCGAAAGAACGAGAGAGGGCGCAACAGAGAGAAAGCAATTCAGAGGAGAGACTGAGAGAACGAATTGTAGTGATAGAATAAAAACAATGGCTTCACTTCTTTATTTCTAATTTTTTGTTCATGAAAATTTTGTTAATATATTGGCCACATTTTTCCAATTAAAATGATACCAAATACGACATGCTTTAGACCATTATCCGTAATAAATAACTTATTTTATTTGCGAAAAAAGCATTGGAAAAACCGATTTTTCACATTTGATATATCAAAGGCAAGGTCAAAGAAGGTATGTACATATGTTTTTCGAAAGAAAATATCAGTGAAGTTACGCTATTCAAGCCTACGTTCGACGCCGAAAATGAGAAGACTTTACAGGCATGGGAGAACGAAGAGAACGAAGAGTTTCTAATTGAAAATTTGCCGGCACGGGAGAAGTTGACATCATTTTGAGGAGAAGCCTACGCGCGAAGGGTGTGAAGGAACTGTTTTCTGTACATTTTCCATAGGCCCTGGAATTTTAAGAGGTCGAACATCGAGAAAGAACAACGACATTCAGCGTCCTCGAAACTCAGCGTCGATAGCGCAACAAGTGAGTTGCAGATTTGGCGACGAAGGACAAGGGCTAGAACCGAAGCCACGTTTTCCTAAGAAAAATTCCCTCCTCTCGAGTGTACGAGGAGAACCGAGTTTTCTGTTTGGAGTTCCAGAGCCGGTCCTTGCAAAACATTCTTAGAGTAAAGAACTCCCTAGCGCGCCATAAAATAAAGTCTTTTAGTACCTAATCAATTTTTCCTGTCCAGTGTTATTAGTGATATATAAATTGTGACAATTAAAATCGTTCTTTTCTAATTGTTTTACACTCTGAATTACATACGCATAGCTTTACTATTAATATTATGGCATCAACAAAAAAATATACGTTATTAAACATGCATAATATATATATAACAATATTTTATTAGCGTTATATAAGCGTTATATTGTTATATAACGCTTGTATGTTTTAAAGGATCTTGAAACAGAACTGTCAACTAAACATCGGAAAACATCATTTAAGGCGACAAATTTGTATTTTTTGGGAGAATGAAATAAACATCAGTAAATGCAACAACTTTGCCTACACCCTTCTCCACCGCACACCACGTGCATCTTGGCAGTAAATTACATGCAACGTCTATCGTCTTTGATTTTATTGTCAACACGAATATCTATCCAAACTATACCGTGTTTGGTCTCATTTTAATCAGAAAACTATCAGCAATATGTTAAAAAAATCAGTATTAAAATGATAAAATTAAAAAAAGTTATGTCATTGCATTATGAGTTGTCTTCCAGTAATTCGAATCAAAGAAGTCGCGGCGCGTGCAGCTGCAACATGCTTACCGACACCATCGAACTTTAGCATGGCGAGGCAATCGATCAATTAGGGCGCCGCAAGAAAATCAATAAATTACAGGGCCGTGGCAATATCTCGGTGTCAGAATCGGCATACTCAAGTTACGGCGAGAAGAGAGCCACTACTGTATATGTATACGAATTCAAGCGCATCGGTTATTTGCGGGAAGAGAATCCACCCGTTGGCGGTTCTGGATGTAGCCGCCACAGACAATTCCTTCTCACTTTTATTAAGTATCGAGCATATCAATTTTTGCAAAAATGTATAAAGTTGAATGCTAATTCGGAGAAGCTCCTCTACGAGAACATAAGTATTCTGATTCTTGGAGAATATACGGCCGAGAAAGATTATAGCATCTTTGGGTGATGGTCTCCCTTTCAATTTGAAGCTTGAAACTACCAATTTAAGATAATGTTAGTGTTAACGTTAGAAAGTGTAAAATGGGCCGATATTCATGCAAAATGTTTCAATGCTGCAATTTTGTTCAGTATTGAAAGAATAAATGAAAATAAGTCACACATGTGAGCAGAATAGACATTGTACAGTGTCACAGTTCGCAGAAAAGGCGAAATAAGGTTAAATCAGCAGATTTGCATAGGTAACAGGCGCACACGTACGATATGTTTTTCGCAACAAGGATACAATAGTTATACGTGTAGCTGTGCATTTCAGGACCCGTATACTCGTGTGCCGTGAATTAAAAAGTAAACGGGTTAACACGGGGATATGCTAACTACGCGTGCACATGTGTATTCCGGTAGACGTAAAGTAGGGACCTCTGGTAAGATGAGAAACTGTGTGAGAACAATAGAAGTGCCCTCACTTTCGTTCGTTGGAAAGTTGGAGAGTTTTCGTGCTGAACAAAAAACTTTTCGTAAAAATAGAAAAATATTGCGCAGAAACTGCTCACGTCGACACTTTTCTAAACTTTGACATCAATTTGTTGCTATTTAGGACCAGAAACAATTAATAAATTG